ACTGTATAAAAGATTCTGGAGGTAATATGGTTTGAGGCCTATTGCTCAGCTCTGCAGTTAAAGACAGAGCCATTAAAACAAAGGAGTCCCCAATGCATTCCCGGCTCTAAAATACTGTAGAGTCTTAATTGCCTAACTGAGGTGGGAGGGCAAAGTCTAAACAACTGTGGAACAAAAAAAATCTATGGAATATCAAGTTTCTTTTTTTAAATTGCACTCTTTGGATTAATCATAGATTCTGGCTAAAAACAAAAAAATGAATACAAACAAATTTCACAATTTCTCAGGTTCAGAAGCTAAACGGTTTTAAAACTGACAACTACAGTTGGTCTCCTGCAGGATTAGAAATACTGGATACTCTCAGGCAATAAACAAACACAACTTAATATTTAAATTTTATCTGAAGCTCAGACTGCGATTGGATTTCCTGATATGAAGAATTGTATATCCAACTCAACTGAAGGTTGGCCAGGATAGTAATTATTATGAAGTAAAGGATACCGAACTAATCAATTTCTAAAACCACAATACTCTTCTATCTAGTCAACAGTCCCCAGATGAAATTGATAATAATAATAACCCTTACATTTGATATAGCACCTTATCAGGTCTTCGAGGCATCTCAAAGCGCTTCACAGAATATGCCTTAACGTGGATTGACTATATTTTGTGGCCGAAACGCGGCAGCCAATTGCACACAGCAGTGTCCCACAAACTGCTGTTACCAATTTATTATTTTTTAAAGGAATTATTACCCACGGAAAAGCAATCCACCAATCAACTAACAACCAAATTCCTACTTACTGATAGGTAAACAGAGGTGTATGGAGTAAGGAAGCTTGCCCTACATTTCGCCCTGCCGGGACTCAAACCCAGGTCTCTCGCTTTCAAGGGGAGTGCTCTAGCCACTGAGATGCAGGACTCCACTTGGTCATTCACTTCATGGCTATCACACCATGACATTGTTATGTGCAAATTGGCTGCTACATTTGCTTACAAATACAGTCACTACAATTTACAGGAAAATCCTGTAAAGCGATTTGAGATGTCTCAAAGACATAAGGTGCAATATCAAATGCAACAATGATTATTACTTTATTACAAAAGCAAGCAGTTTACAAATGCTTTTACACAATTCTTACTGAATTATTCTCCTTCATATCAACACCAACAAATTGCATTTATATAGAGCCCTTAGCGTGGAGCAGTTTCTTGGTGCTTATTATACCCTAAGCAACAACTAATATCAGACATTTATTTGTGTGCACAACAACATTTCTGTGTGCAGGAGACATTCCTAGTTAAACACTTGGGGAAAGGCTGAAACAAGTCATCCAAACTTCTGGAGGATGCATCCCCCAACCTCTACCCCCAAGTAATTCACATCTGACTGTCAGCAGCTCAGCTCATAATGACTACATCCGCTTGGGGCCACAGTGTGGGTAATAAAAAGAAATAAAGAAAAAGTAGAAAGAAAAGAAGTCTGTCTGGCATGCATTAGACTCTTTTATTTTAATGGTTCTGTCTTTAACTGCAGGGCTTATCAACAGGCCTCAAACCATATTACCTCCAAAAACAAGTTCAAAGTAAAAAAAAACTTTCTTTACATCCCCTCTTTCCCCTTCTTTCAATACTACATTCTGCTTTGAAATTAAATATTATTTTGGACTATTTATTTTAATTCAACAATTCTGTTTTATGATAGATAGTTAGGCAATTATAGTTGATACACAAATTAAATTTTCAACCATGACTCTTCCTTCCCATTACAACAAAAAGCATAGTTTATCACTTGCTGTGTGAATGGGTTTTCTATGCATTTTCCCGGCAGCTATTTCACCAGCTGAAGGTGGTATGTGTCCCTCCCTAACCCCCCATCTTCACTTCAACCCCAAAAACAATCACCCAAATAAAATTGGCCATTCACTTCTTGAACGTTTGTGGCAAATTGCTGTGTGCAAAATTGGCTGCCATATACACCTACAAAATAGTCATACAATTTACAGTATAATACAAAATTACATTTGTATAGCACCTTTCATGTCGGGAGGATGTACCAAGGCGCTAAACAGTCAAGAATCAGTACATCTGGTGAAGCATTTTGTGGCATCCTCCCAATATAAAAGTCACTATATAAAATAAATTCATTATTTTTATTATAATTATTATTAATAATAACCCTTCTCTAGCCAGTGTAACCAGATGTTCAGACACAAACTCAGAGACAATGGCATTCGATTATCGTAAGTTATTTTTCCTTCTTTGGAGAAACCTAACTTTTGTGCAATTCATAGATGGAACTACTTTATACTAAGTGTAGTAAAAAAAATTCAATTAATCCTATGGAATTAGACCGAAGCAAAATGAAAGGTTTCTTGTTTGGAAAAAGATTATTTTCTTGCAAATGTTAAAATAGATTAATGGTTGTAAAGCTCCTATAACAGCTCAGCAAATACAGTACTGTTGTCATATCCCTATGGCATCAATGGATAGAAGACTCAGGATTTTTTTCTCTTTGACAGTCAGTATATTCTCTCAACTGCAGCATAAAGTCAGAAACATCATGGCTCAGAAAATCATTTTTAACACTCGTATATAAACCTGATCATTACCTCCTCATCTGGAAGTTGGGGCAGCTATATTAAAAAAACTGCATATATCAAAACATTTGATATAGTCCCAAATCGCTTCAGGAGATCTTAGTGTAAGTGTAGTTATTGTATTTTTTGTAAGCTCACACAATGTTCCCAGATAATAATAGTAATCCTTGCAATTGACATAGTGCCTTATCACGTCTTTAGGACATCTCAAAGCGCTTCACAGAATGTACAGTAAAGTGAATTGACTGGAAATGTTGTGGGCAAAACGTGGCAGCCTATTGCACACAGCAATGTCCCATAAACCATCGTGGATTAAAGTGACCAATTTATTATTATAATTTTGAAGGAATTATAATCCCCGGAAAAGCGATCCACGAATCGACTAACAACCACCAGGTTCCTACTTACTGCTGGATAAACAGAGGCGTGTGGAGTAAGGAAACTTGCCCAACATTTCACCCTGCTAGGAATCAAACCCAGGTCTCGCTTGCAAGGCGAGTGCTCTAACCACTGAGCTACAGGACTCCACATGACATTATGATCTTGTTATATTTTCGCCCACAGAATATAGTCAATTCACTTTAAATCATATTCTGCGACGTGCTTTGCGAAGTCTCAAAGATCTGGTAATGCGCAAACGCAAGGATTATTATTATACTGGATTTCCTTTGGATTTAGGGACAGCCTACATAAAAGTCACTGATTAAATAAGGAATGAGTAATAGAGCTTATTTGCTAAACAAAACCATGTGAGGCTATATACAGAAGAACACGGATACCCATAATCAACTGCAAAGTTAATTCATTGAAATGACCCTCAAACTCCGCCCACACACACACACACACACATTTTCCTATATATTAGTGCTGTTAAGTATTGCTTGAAAACTCGAAAGTTTTCAACTCATGAGCGTACATCAGCGAATGACTGACAAATGCGCTGTGGTGCAGCACAACACACGTACATTAACTTAGCAAAGAAAAAAACCCTCTGGAACTCGGGTTCTTTCTTTTTTTTAAAAAAAAGAGAGAGATCAATTTTGCATCAGTCACCGAGCCAGTGGGGATGAGACAAAATGCTTCAAAATCTCACTCCGGGAAGTATTTTGCAATACATCGGACTTTATGGGGGTGGACGGCAGGGATTTCAGTCTTCGTGTCAGCACTGCGGGAAGTGTAAACACAAGACCACGAGTGCGCTCTGTGTCTGTAACGCATATATATATATATATGCACATATAAAAACTAATCCAGTAAAGTATATATATATATGCACATATAAAAAATAATCCAGTAAAGTATATATATATAAAAATAATCCAGTAAAGTATATATATATATATATGCACATATAAAAACTAATCCAGTAAAGTATATATATATATATGCACATATAAAAAATAATCCAGTAAAGTATATATATATGTGCACATATAAAAAATAATCCAGTAAAGTATATATATATATATATATGCACATATAAAAACTAATCCAGTAAAGTCTACAACGTAAAGGGCTCCGATGCAGATTTCCTAAATATCACCAGGGAAGGGGGAGAAGGGGAGAAGAGGGGACGCTGATGCCTCCAAAGTGCGGCTGATCCCCCCCCCCCACACCCCCCCCCCCTCCCCACACCCCCCCCCACAGCTCAAAAGGGTTCATTTCCAAACATTTCCAGCAAACGTTTCGCGTTACGTCTCCAACCGCTTCGAGAGCATCAAAACGGCATCAGATGAAGCCGTTTTCTGCGGTCCCGGGGCCTCTTGAGACTCCTGGTCGTGGCCGTGATAGCTCCACGTTTCACAACGTCACTCGTCATTAAACCGCTCATCTCATCATAATAATTAAATAATAATAACAACAACAACAACAACAACTCCTCCTCCACGCTGGAGCAGGAAAAGCCCCCCCCCCCCCCTTTTTTTCTCTCTCCCCGACTCCGGTTAGAAAACGTACACCAAAAACCGCTCGTTTTAAATGGAAAAACCCTCCTCCCTCCTCCTCCCGAGCGATCAACTTTTTGCCGCACGTATTTGGTTTTTTTTTTAAAAAGAATAAGTTAAAAGCCACGCAGTCGTTTTTAAAGCTCCTGCGAGCGAGCGAGAGAGACAGAGAGAGAGAGAGAGAGGAGAGAGGAGAGAGAGAAACTTCTGCCTCTCTCAATCATCCGGATCGGTTAGCGAAGGGGTACTCGGGCGAAGTTAAGTTGTCAGCTGCACCCACTGCACTTGGGCAATGATTCAGAGGGAGGAAGCAGCTAAAAATAAAGAGAAGAGGGGTGTGTGTGCGTGTGTGTGTGTGTGTGTGGGGGGGGAGAGAAATGCTTTCGAATTGCCAACGACTGTGATTTGAACGAGTATTATTATTATTATTATCATCATCATCATCGTCAGCGTTTACCTGTCCTGAGACTGCTCCTCGTACATCCGCTCTTTGCCCTCTTTAAAGAGCCTGATGGCTCGCTTGGATTTCTTCATCAGGCTGTCGATGTAGATCTTGAAGTACTCGTTCTCGCTCAGGACCTGCATCCGATCCTCGTACTTGGAGAGGATGAGCCGGAGGTGCTGGTAGGTGTCCGGCAGGATGTCGAGGATGTACGGCGGGCTGTTCTTCAGCTGCAGCTTGGGGTTCTGGCACAGCCGGACCACTTTGTCCATCAGCTTCCAGGTCTTCTCCACCATCCGCTTGTCGGCCGCCTGCTTCGGGGGCCCCACCGCGTCCTGGATGGCGTCGATGAAGCCTAAAATCCGACCCTTCTTCACGTTGCTACGCGGGTTCCTGGGCGCCATCGCCATGTTTGTTTGTTTTTCCGATAATAATAATGATGATGATGATGATGATGATGGATGGATGATGATGCGCGTCAGTTAATATTTTTTTATATATATTATATATAGTAGAGAGAGAAAAATAATAATAATAATCCCTCGTCACTTTTGTGGTTTTTATATATATATATATGTATATATATATATATATATGAACTTCAACCGAAATACGACCGGGGCAGAGGCAAATTCAAGCGACCACAAACGAACCCCATCCAGACCGTCTTCGCCCCGCGTCCACCATGAGCGGGCGGCGGAGGGAGTTGAGCGTGTGTGCGTGTGCCGCCGGGGTCTTCAACACCACCACCACCACCACCACCATGTGCGCGCCGTGCCCCGAGAGGAGGAGCTGTGTCGGACGCTCGTTGCTGTTCCGTGCCCAAAGGAAGCCCCCGGCGGACTGACAGCAAAGCGAACCCAAGCCGACGCCGCTCCGCTCGGACTGGAAGCCATCCACACAAACAAAACACTGCGGGGGAGAAGGAGAGGCGGGCGGGCGGGCCGTTCCGCCCCCCCCCGCCCCGCCTCCCGCCGGGCCGTCATCCGCCTGACTGACACCCCGCCCCGGCCAATCGTGCCCTCTCCAACCTCGGTGACGGACCGGCGAGGCTCCGCCCCTTAACTGCCTCTCCACCATTCAACGGGGAGGGAGGGTGGGAGAGGGCGGGACGCGGGGCGGCGCCCCACCTTTGAGTGACAGGCTGACTGGGAAGCGCCGGTCACTGGGAGCAATGTACAGGAAATGGATGCGGATTGTGTGTGTGTGTGTGTGTGTGTGTGGGGGGGGGAAGGGAAGGAGCAGGAAGTGGAGGAAGTGGGCGGGGCTTTTGTTTCTCCATGACAACCAGCGTGCGCCGCCCGGCCCCGCGTGCGCGATTCAAATCACTCGTGGTAACGGCCAAACGGCGACCGTTCACGCGCGGTCAGCGGCAGTTGCTCGTTGAGTCTTGGTGGTGGTGGTGAGGCGCTCAATGGCTGGTTGTTGAATGTCGACTCGGAGGAGCCCTGGCGACACAGTGAATAAGAATGGACGAGGAGGAGAGAGAGAGGGACTGAGCACGTCATGGTATTTACAGCTCACGGACCCGCCTTCAGGGTGACGGGTCAGGTTATGAAACGGCAGGGGACAGGACTTCCGGTAACAGCGCGGCCTTGTTGGGTGGGCGGCGGGGAGTTGACGTTTAAACTTGTACCGGCGAGAGGAGGGAGGGGTGGGGGGGGGGTGCAAATTCTTGGGGGGGGTGGGAGAAGGGGCCGTTGGAGGTTACGACTTACGGACACGAACGCAAATGGAGCGAAAGGGCTGCGGGAGATCTGAAACGAAAAGGGAAGTGGCACACATCCAAAGGGGGGAGAGAGCGTTAACGTTTCTGAACGTCGACGTCAAAGGGTTTTGATGACCTTTTCATCAGAACCGACGGCGGTGCTCGGTTCATTGCACCGTGCGCAAGCCAGAGGGACCTGGGGTTTGGTTCCTGGGCGGGGTGAAAGGTTGGGCAAGTTTCCCTGCTCCACACACCTGTTTACCCAGTAAGTAGGAACCTGGGGTGTGTGTGTGTTTTTTTTTAGTCGATTGGTGGATCGCTTTTCCAGGAGTAATAATCCCTTCAAAAAAAAACACCCCACCCGATTCAGTCATTCAATCCAGCTCTGCTTACGGGGGCAGTGCCGTGCGAAACTGGCAGCCGTGGTTCGCCCGCAGAAGACGCGGTTTATACCGTGAAGCACTTTTGAGATGTCTCAAAAGATGTGATGAGGCTGTGTCCCCAACGCAAGTAGTGTTGTTGTGTGCTGGAATCACATGGGAACAGAGTAAAATAGTGTGCGTTTTCTTTTGCTTTAAAAGGGGCCCCAAAGGCTTTATTTTTTAAATGGGTTTTTTTCAATTTCATATGCAGTCCGTCTCACGTGTATCCCCTTCTCCAGTCGAAAACCTGTCCAATCGAGAACATCGCTGTGGAAACTTCCCTGCTATGTAAGCTGTTGTATAAAACAACAACAACAACAACAACAAGATTGCATTTATAATGCGCCTTTCATGTCGGGGGGATGTCCCAAGGCGCTGGACACTTGGGTCGGGACCTGAGCAAGGGGGAAATGGTCAGGGGGAGGGGAGGGAGGGAGCGGGGAGGGGGTAGAGAGTCGAGAGGGGAGCTGAAGGCACGGTCAAAGAGAAAGGTCTTGAGACCGGCCTTGAAGGAGGAAAGGGAGCAAGCAAGGCAAAGGCACTGGGGGATGGAGTTCCAGAGCCTAGGGGCTGAGAGGCTGAAGGCCCGGCCACCGGTGTTAGGGCGGGGGGTGTGGAGCAGACCATGAAGTTAACCCCATGTCTGCGGATGATGTCACCAAGCGGGAGCATATAGAGGGTGAAGAGGAGGGGACCGAGGACAGAGCCCTGAGGGACGCCGCACGAGACAGTGCGGGGGCTGGAGGAAAAGCCGTTAGTGGAAGCAAAATGAAGACGGTGGGAGAGGTAGGACCTAAACCACTCAAGGACAGGACCTTGAAGGTTGAGGCGGGAGGACAAGCGGTGGAGGAGGATTGAGTGGTCGACCATATCGAATGCAGCCAATAGGACGAGGAGGCAGAGGGAGCCCTGGTCCCAGATGGTCAAGATGTCATTAGTGACCTTGACCAGGCCGGTTTCCGTGCTAAGGGCAGCACAGAAACTTGACTGGAGGGGTTCAAATAGTGAATGGGTGGAGAGGAAAGAGTGCAGCTGGGAGGCGACAACTCTTTCAAGGACCTTGGACAGGAAGGGGAGGTTGGAGATGGGCCGGTAGCTTGATAGCTGCGATGCATCAAGGGAGGGTTTTTTCAGTGTGGGAGTGATGGTGGCAGTTTTTAGGAGAATGGGAACAGAGCCAGAGGAGAGGGACAGGTTAATGGTGTATAATATAAAAGTGGCATCCCTATTATGTTGACCAAAAGGCATCAGAGCTTCCTACCCTCCTGAAAAATGAAGACAATGTAGTTATAGCAGGAGGTGGGAAAATGGGGAAAACATTTCAGAAAAATATATTATTAGCATTCTCAGCCACACCATATTTGCCTTGTTTTTTGAACTATGACCACTTTATTATGTTTGACAAGGTTTGTTTGAAAATCCTTGCGCTGTGGTCACGTTCTTCTCACACATACTGTAGTTGGCATTTGGATCAATGATTAGTGACTTGCCTTCTCAGTAATGAATTGCTTGGTCTTGGTGAGATATTTCTTTGGCTGATTGCCATATCAGTAGAATTGCTTCCAGAATACTTGGACCAAACTGAAGTGATTCTGTATATGAATAGTAATTTTACATATTGAGAACGGAAAATTACAACCTTAAGTTAAGCTAACTGACAGTCTCGTGTCTTGACCATGCGGTGTGCAGTGTATTGTGGTTAATGCCAAAATATCTAACTTAAGCATTGCAATTTGCACAATTGATTTCTAGATTCAGAACTGTACTTAAGCAGCGTATAATTTGTGTGTTCATTTCCAAGCTGTACCCAAGGGATGTGTAATAATGACCTAACTGCAAAGCATAGCACCCAAAACCAGCACTAATCAACTGATACCAGAAGGGTACATTCACCATGTGTTCTGAGTTAGCTGATCTGTGCTGTTTTAAACAGTGCATGTTTAAGTCCTGTGACAGTGTTTAAAACAGCACAGATCAGCTGATCAAATCACAGGATTAAATGTTTGGTTGGCTTGGCTTAAATCTGCTATAAACAGTAAAGAGGACGGAAGAACAGAATACATTGTTTACACCACAAGAGCAGTCCAAAGTAAACAGAATTCAGTACTGACGCTGTGTATTTTTAAGTGGGTTATGTAGAGTAGAATGTGAAAAGACATTTAACCCCATTTAGATCAAGCTGAAGGTTTGGGGTTAAATGTGTTTTCACATAAGTAAAAAATTTCATTTTACCTTGATAATTAATATAACACATTATTATGTCAAATGTCTCAAAGTACCTTTACGGGGAACTCCAGCAAGTTTAGTACAGTGCACTCCATATTATTGTATGGAGTCAGGACCAGACAGACACCATGCAATTATATGGAGAATGCAATTATCCAAAGTTCATTAGTGGTGCCACCTTCCTGATGCTCTTTACGCTGACTCGCCTTTCATAATATGCTACAATAACAATCAACTCTTTTTGACAATTTACTAAGCTACCTTTGTAAAGTCAGTGCTGTCTCACTTTAAAATAGCTACCATCCTCCCAGGAAAAGTGCATGCCCAACCAGAGTTGGCAACCTTACTCACACGGTCAACTCCTCAACCAATGCAATTATCCAAGCTAATTATTCAGATACAAATGAAATCAACTGACTATCTTGCATGCAATTAAGTGAATTATGCAAATCTACAAATTCATTTTAGTGGCCAGCAATACCGTTCAAATAAATAGCAAATTTTTGGTACCTGGAAATTGCAATACAATTAATTGGAGAATGCAATTTTCTGATGTGCAAATGGAGTGCACTCTAAATGTTTTCGTAGAGGAAACTCAATAACCATGAAGTAAATAACAAGTTTGTTTGTGTATAAATTGCACTTTACAGTATATCCCATGAAGCGTTTTGAGACGTCCTCCCAACATGAAAGGCACTATAATCAAATTTAAGTAGTAGTATTCATCAATTTATGTAGAGAATTATAAGATGGGACACCAAGAGAGACTATCTACAGTGTGTGCTATCTACAGAATGCATTGTAGTAACTCACCAACATCTTCCAGCTCTGATATCAGTCATCCAGAAGAGCAAGAACAGTGGTGTGGAAACACCTCCATTTCCAAGTTCCCTTTCAAGTCAGTCATTCACCATCCTGACTTTGATATATCGATCATTTATTCAATGTCACTGGGAATCCTGGAATTCCCTACTAAACACCATCCCGAATTGCAGCAGTTTACAAAGTACGTATAGCACGGAAACAGGCCACTCAACCCAACCAGTCTGTGCCGGTGTTTATACTCCACACGAGTCACAGTTCAAAGAGGAGACGTTATCACCATCTTGGCAAAACAAAGAGCGAATAAGTGTTGGTCCTGCCAACATTCCCCACATCCTGTGAGAGAGTTAAACTCTTTTATTTAAACATTTCATCCAAATTTTCAGCAATGCAGTGCTCCCCCAGTACTGGATCAGAACGTCAGCCAGGATTATGAGCTCAAATTCTAATGTGGGACTTGAATCCACAACCTTCTGACCCAAGGCAAAAGTGCTATCGATTGAGCCAAGGTGACACGTCGCTTCACTCCTGCAGTTTGATATGTCACTTTGTATCAAATGCGACATTGGCAAAATAGTCTGTTGTCACAGCGAATGTCCTCATCTCAATTGGATGCTAAATGTGAGTTTGTGCTGTTCTGGCAGCAAATAAAATTGACTTTGAAAGAGAACTTCAGTACACAGCTGCTACATCTTGGTCCCATACACAGAGATCTAGAAGCTCAACAGAATGGATTTTCTAATTGTTTTTCAGAGGCAGTCTGCTAGTCTTAACAACACAGCAATTGGCCATGAGTTTGAATCTCCGGCTTAAGTAACATTTGAACTCGCTTGCTTGAGTGGGTGTTTTGTAAATTCTTGACGACGGGGTTATTAGATGAAGTTGTGATAGCAGAACAGACAACAAAGGACAAATTGTCAATGAACAGTGGGACTCCACAAAGATCCAGTGACTTAGTATTGGATGGTCCTATCCTCCTCACTGCAAAGGGAAGTTCGGTGCTGGGTGGTAACAATAAGAAATTAAAGAGGTAAATAGAGGAATGGGAGATTGCACATATAATGCTGCAAAATCTATTTTAAATCTGAACTAAACAGAAACCGAAGCTTATTGCTGGAACAAGACATTTTACATAAGAGCTAGTTAAAAAGGTCAATTCTCTCACTAATGTAAAACCTGGTTCTCCATGAAACAGATGTTTTAAATATGTATTTTGGAAAAAAATGTGTGTTGAAAAGAGAAACTTGTGGAATTCCATTCATCCAGACTTGTTTCCTTATGGCCCCATAATGTTTTGCAATCCAGATCCAATTTTTCCCAGTAGAAAATACCGACATAGTTTTTGGAATTCTTACCCAATTTCCAGAATGCTCTTTATTTTGTGAATGAGTGGATTTTCCTGTGCTTTTAATGGAACAGGAAATTCGTCATCAGATGAGTGATTTCAGCAAGCTACACACAAAGGCAACTTATTCCATGTGATTTACTACATTTCAGTGAATAACTTGTAACATTTAATTCTTGTGACATTTAAGATTTTTGGGAAATGGATATACTTTGGGAAATGAGAGAAATGAATCACTCCATGTAGAATTCCTGTTAACTTTGAAGCAACTTCATTATATTTCACCACTGTTACAAAGTGTTAAACACTGCATTTTTGTACTAACTGTATATCCCTGTAATTTCCATTTATACAGCAGTGTCAGTTGTATTGAATTTTGAAAGGAATGTTACAGGGTTAGTCTAAGCATTATTATGGAGCAAGCCACCTACCATGTTTGCACACACCTCTGAGTCCGAGGTTGTGGGCTCAAATCCATGTCAGGGCTTTGAAATCTTAGTCCAGGATAACAATCCAGAGCAGTGCTGGGGGAAAGTTGTGTCATAAGAGGTGCCAGTCACTTGGCCAACAATCCCGCAAACAAAATTGGTAATTCAGCTCTTGGCTGTTTGTGGAACATTGCTATATGCAAAGTGACTGCCGAGTTCATCTACAAATATCTGTACATGCAACCTTTGTAGTAAAATCCTGTCAAGTGCTTAGACATCTCAACGACATGATAAAGTACTGTGTCAATTTTGTATTATAAAGAAGGATTAAATGAGTGAATCAGTGACTTATCATCACTACCCTCAGTATGACAACTTTTATAAGTTGTATTTTTTGTTTTACCTTATTCAATCACACAACTTTACAGAAGAGAGCATTGCTCACGGTCACACAAGGTATAGTTTTGCTTTCTGGATAGTAATATGATTATCCTTGCATTTGATATAGCGCCTTATCACGTCTTCTAGATGTCAAAAGCACTTCACAGAATATACTGTAAAGTGTAGTGACTATATTTTGTGGGCGAAACACAGCAGCCAATTGCACACAACAGCCAATTTTACACAGCAGTGTTCCACAAACGGTTATGGATTAAGTGACCAAATTATTGTTATTTTTAAGTTATTATTACCCACAGAAATGCAATCCGCCAATCGACTAACAACCGGGTTCCTTCTTACTTATTGGATGCAACTTAATGGGGTTAATTTAGCCATAAATTAAATTCTTATCATTTCAGATTGTTCCCTGAATATGCCAAGAAGCTGATCCCTACCTTGTTCTCTATGTTGACATCTGTGAAGTCAGGCTTGCAACATTTGACTTCCAGTTTGAGATGGTGGCTTTCATCTGCTGGTTCCTGGGAAGCCAAGTCCATTTCATAGAATTATACGGCCCATTGTGTCTGTGCCGGCTCTTTGAAAGTGCTTAGATGGATTTGATTTTTCCATTTGGAAATTCATTTTAGATAGATTTTTAAATAGTCATTATCCAACTGACAGGTAGTTGAATAGCATGATCGCCAGTGTGTTGCTGAGCCTTGCAGTACGGAAGGGTCCCAGGTTCAATACATGGTTTGTGCTGAGTTGCCTGAGCCAAGCTGAAGTATCAGCAGGGGCACAATAATTGGTCTCATTGAAATTGGGCTTGGAAGTGGAGAAATTAGCCAGAGTTCATGATCTCTAAATTGGAGAGTGAATTTGAATACTCTGTATGACAGCCTCAATGATACAACACCTGAACTAAGCATGTCTGCAATTCTCTGAGGTCGTGTTAATGATTGATGAGCCTGCCTGACTCATCAGTGTGACCTTGAGAGATGGACTTCTCATATGGTAGCCATCCACTGATAAAACTACAAGCCAGTGACCTAACCAGTATAGTGACTGTAGGTGGTCAAGTAGCATGAAGATTATCAGTGCCCGGTATTAAGCAGCTCAGTTTTAATTGAGTAAATGTACATTTGTGATCTCTAGTGCCTGGCTTCTGTCAGGGAGGTTATTGGAGTTCTGAGCAAGAGACATGAAGATGCTGGCAAGAATTGAATAAGATGGCTTTAGTCTTTTTAACCTTCAGCTACAGGAAATGAAGACTCCTCCCAGTAACTGATGATGGACAGGCAATTGGTCAAAACGGCAATGTATACCATACCAGTGAGTTCCTGATAAATGGAATTTTTTAAGCATGGCTAGAAGTTTCTGCAATGTGCCCTACAAGATTTCTGCATATCTAGAGGTTTATATCTGACCTAATAAATGTTAAGACCTTCTGTTAGAAAGGGGAGAGGAGAAGAGTAATATTGCCCTGAGAACGTATGGCAGTCATAGAATAATTTGGTCTAAAGTATTTTATTAAACCATCACAGCAGACTTGGGCAAGTCCATACTAATCACATTAGTAACTCTTCCAGGTGCAGTTTCTGCATTTCAATTCTGGATAATAGTATGCACATCTGCCTTAGTGATAGACTGTCCTGGCTGAACTCCCTCTCCATTCCTAGAATGGCCTTCAGGGAACAAGACAGCACCACTATTTCCTGTACATGTGTTTAGACTTTAGGGTTGTGGTCCACCTCCCTGCCCCCCAGCTCTCTGATCCTGCTGACTTATGGTAATAATTTTTGTTTTGAACCTCCATCTCACATCCTTCCATGTCTTTTGACAATAGGCAGGGAGTCATGGTGCTCATTATGACACAGATTACTTGTCATGCTCTGTTGGCCCATATGCTTTTTGATTTAAAAATCTCTTGCACAATAACCTCTTTCATTCACTGCAAATCGTGTCCTCGCGGATGTGGGTTTTGAAGCACAGCTTGAGGGTCAAGTAGAGCACAAAAACGTGTGCACCACTGCTTTGTCTGATAGAGCAGCGAAGAATACAGTACCACAGTACAATTTGTCCTGTTCCTTTGCACATCTTCAACAGAACATGCTGGATAACCTTTCCCTAGATTTCATATTGTGCCTATAACATCAAATCATCTCAAAACACATCATGGTAAGAGTATTAAATATGTGCAGACAAACCTAGTTACCAATTTCCCACAAACAGCCAAGTGGTGGTTAATCAATTTTTTTTTGAGGTTTGTTGACTAAGATCCCCTTCTCCTTTCAGATAGTACCATGAGATCTTTATTGATCACAAAAGCAGACAGACAAGACTTTGGTTGAACATCTCATTCAAAAAATGGCACTTCTGATGATGCTGTAGTCTATTGACACTGTGTGTGTCACCCTAGCTTAAAGTGCCAGAGGTGAGGCTTGCACCCACGATCTTCTGACCCAAAGGTAAGAGTGCTTCTATTAATACATTTTGTTGCAGTGATAATGAATGAGAATCTGGCCAGATTTTCTTCTGCTTAACTCAGGAACACTGAAACCAATTCTAAATGGCACAATTTCTGCCTATCCTATTGAAATAACATAATTTAAATAAGCCAGTGCAAAACCCGGGTTCTCCCTGTTTGTAGAAGCTCAGTAATACATCATGCTGTGCATTTATCCTCATAGAGATGATGAGATTATGTTTTTTAAAAAAATGACCGCTGCAATATTCAGAATTATGCTAAACAATTACCTTTGATCAAATTACCTTTAATTTGGTAATTAGTATCTAACAAGATATATTTGAATTAATCTCTTCAGATATGATGAAGCTTTTCATACACTGAAAAATCTTCATGCCAAGGTAATGTTCACAAAAAGTATGTTAACATGAACTAAAAGCATACAACTTACCCTAAGCTTGTATTACTTATAAAAATGTCAGCTACAGAGAACTGCTAGTTGTTAAACCTTAACGCTATGGTAATCTTACATATATGGTTACAAGTTTCACCCTGACCCCTGCCAATGCTCATAAGAACATCAAGCATAGAACGAGAGGGGAAAAAGCCACTTATTTTCGCAGTCCGTGAGTAATATGTTCCATCTTGGAGTTTTCCATCACTTTAATATCTGAGGAAAAATGTTTGCAATATTCTCCCTGGTTTTGAAAGATCAATAAAAAAAAACCCTACTTGTCTATTCTTACATCCTATCCTGGACCACTTGGCTTTTTTATCCGAGCAGCTGAAAATCCTACATTTCCGCACAACATTTGACCATTATTCTCTATCTACTTCTGCTTGTAACCCTTATTATCATGCCTCATCAGAATTTAGTTCTGATCTCAAAAATATCAATTAAGATCTTATTAACTGTTTTATCTGGTCATTCCAAGCAGCAAATTCATCCACTGAAAATTATTGTATTCCTTCCAGTGTCTGATTTCAACTTATATTTATAGTCTTGCAATAGCCATAGTCGCATATTAATCCACCTTGGATGTAATTGAGCAGTACTTACCAGGATGGTCCCAGGCTCATTCCCTGGTTCTCACTGAGTTAAAGCATCTCAGCTGGGTTAGCAGTAGCAATGCTATAATTGCCTTTTTATCTTCCTTGTCCATGGAGTGGAATAATAGGCTCCTGCTCCTGTTTGTTATTTAGTACAAGTGCTCATGTGTGACTATCAAGTGAAGACAGGATCAGCTCAGCTGTGAATACCGTAGCATAGCCAAAAAAATCTGTTGAAGTTCACGGTCTGGATTTTAGGTGCTGTCTCAGTTAGTAGGACTCTCATGTGTGGTTCAGAAGGTTGTTTACTCGTGACTGAACTTCTCTAATGCAGACCTCACTGTTTTTCTACTTCTGATATCCATAAACTCCAGCTCATTCAAAATATCACAGCCCACATCTTCACCTGCACCAAACTGCATATGCCCGTCACCCCAGTCCCCAGTTTACACCGGCTCCCAGTGGATCGACTTCAGGGTTCTCACCCATGTTGACATGTTGTCATGCCTAGCACCTCATATCCCTATCTCTGATCCTTTCCCACTTTTCTGCCTGACCCTCTATTGGGCAAACTCAGGCTTGCTGGGAGTGACATACCCTCTCTGCACCACAATTAGCAACTGTGCTATCACTCTTTGGAAATCCCTCCCTCTAATCCACAGCCTCTCCATCTTTAATTCCTATCTGCCTAAAGATGCATCTCTTTGACCATAACGCAAGTTACCTTATTGTTTGAGATGTTGCAAAATGAAAAAGTGATAACTTCTGTACTATATTGTACAAGTATTATAATTAATGAAATATTACTGAGATAAGCATACGGAATACGCAGCTTTATAAATAGGGGGGTGGAATGCAAAAGTAAGGAGGCTATGATGAACCTTTATAAAACATTGGTTAGGCTCAACTAGAATACTTTATTCAGTTCTGGGTGCCACACTTTAGTAAGGATGTCAAGGCCTTGGAGAGGGTGAAAAGTACCTGGATGCTAACACGAATGATGGACTTCAATTATGAGAGGCTAGAGAAGGTAGAATTATTCTCCTTGGAGCAGAGAAGGTTAAGGGGAGATTTAATAGAGCCACAGAGTATGAAGATTACTCAAATAAACCACAGCTATAAAAATGTGGAAATAAAAGCCTGAATAGAACATTGAAACCTTTCAAGTGGTTCTTCTTCAGCTCAAGAAAAATGCACTTGAGGATGATTGTGTGGTTGGTAAAGGAGGTTTCTGAAAAAAGTTATTCTCAGACTAAATCGCAATTGTTACAATGTTAAAGAGAGTTAACGTCACGTTAATGTAGAATTTGTAAATGCAAGAAAAAGCTTAACATGTTTATAGCACCTAATAAAAAACATTTAAAAGTGTTTTAGATTAATTACTATCAAATGTAGTGTCAATTTGTAGGCCCCACGAGCAACAGTGACATGAATGACCAATTTATCCTAGGGACTTTTGTCCAGGAGAAACTTGGTGTCACATTCACCTGAAGAATGTGTTGGTCTCTTTAGTCCCTAGTGTTGGTTTAATGTCTAGTTTGAAAGACAGTACTTCCAAAAATGAGGCAGGTGATGTTTAGATGTTTATCAATGAAATAATGTTGCTTCTCTAAGAGTAATTACTAGAGTATTTTACCTTAAGTATTGGACTCTACAATGTACCAGTTTCGCTCTAGTATTGTATTAGAGCGTCATCCTAGAACATAGGTCCAAGTTCCAAAATGGGCACAGTCAAGAGTACCACCAGCCAAGCCAACCGTTACACAGCACAGCAACATATACAAATGTTTTGCTGCGTTGCTTGTACATGATGAAAATGACACATGGCTTTTGTGGCACTTCTCCCAAATACAAACATTATGTACAGATCTTCCTTAAGACCATGCCAGATTGTAAAATGCCTTTTCCTAACATATAAAACAGTGAACATTTTCTGCTGACTATAGAGTCTTAAATCCAATTGCATTTCTTGCACAAGCCAATTCTTGCACAGGCCAGTTCTGCGCAAAGCCTATGCCAAGTTAATCCCAATTAGCTTTTGACTTAAACCACTGAAAGAACCAGTCCTCAAATGTGAGTCAGGGCAACTCTCTGCAAATAACTAAATCCAACATTCATTCCATTATTGTGTGCTGTTTTCTTACATCTTCCCATGCTAGAGATAACATAACTATGCACAGAGTTCAGTGTATGCCAAAAGGAAAAACATTCTAACACATGCAAATATTTTTGAATGACAGTACCCTTAGGTCGATATTGGAAAGGAATTATTCTGACATTCAGCAACTAAAAATGGTAAAGAAAATAATATTTCTCAGGGCAATTTATTTGTAGCGCAGTACTTATTTATAAAGAAAAGCCTAACCATTTTTGAAAAAATAAAGCAACATTATTTCATTGATCAAATCTAAACATCAGCTCCTCCAAAAGCTAAGAGTTACAACTCTAGGTTTCAGTTTCACCTTGTCAGAAGGTTGAAAACTATTCCTCCATTTCATTTATCATTTCATGAAATATTCTTTGAAGATGAGACATGTGTTGTCAGATATGTTTGCAGAGGAAACAAAGGTGAGGGGGAACTTTAACAGTTGCGTTTTACTGGAAGATATCTGTCAACATGCCAGCGATGACATGCCACAGGTAGTCAAATTTTCAGTGCACAAGAATTAGTATTGATGATGGTAGTAGTTTGGGGCTCTGTTTAGGCTGTATATAGTTCTGGTGAGAGTAAAATAAGGAACCCTGCTGCCAGGCCCTGAAGGCAGTGCAGAGAGAAGAGCAGCAAGGCTGATCCCCAGTGTTCAAGGACAGAGCTTTAAGGAACAATAAAATGAGGTTCGATTCTTCAGACTTGAAATGATATACCTCTCAGAGGGAGATGTACTATTACTACTAATAATAATAATAATCCTTGCATTTGATATAGTGCCTTATCATGCCTTCGAGACGTCTCAAAGCATTTTATAGATTATATTGTAAAGTGAATTGACTATATTTTGTGAGCGAAGGTAGATTCTAAATGACAAAAGGTAATATTTTTCGATAATATTAATAATCCTTGCATTTGATATAGTGCCTTATCACATAGTCAAATGTCTCAAAGTGTTTCACAGGATTTTCTGTAAAGTGTAGTGACTATTTGTAGGTGAACAGATTTGCCAAGAAAGCATCCAATAGAGGATGAATTCTAGTTTGCAAAGGGCGATTTTGGGATGGGCACCGGAAGTGTTTCTTTACACAGAAGACTCATTTAAGAAATAACTGATGCTGTAATAGGAAGATGGTAGAATTAGGATTCTGGAAGGATGAGATCAAATTGGCCAAAGGGTCATATTCATCTAAACTTCATTTGTTATGGGGTGAACATGTGTGTGTAGATGTGCACAGATTTAGAAGAAAAACGTTTTCATTTGCTTTTCTTAATTGGTACTGGACAGGATAGTGATGATGGGGAAGGAAGGATATTGTGGACAGGAGAGGAAATCACTGATAGGAGGGTGGAAGATTACAAAGACATCTATTTTCCTGTACAGCCGCCCAGTCGTATAAATGGGGCAGCTCCAGTGAAACTGGCAAGAGCTTGTTTGAATTCTCACTTGGCTCATCAACAATGCTATGAAATAAATGAAGTCAGTAAGCTATGTACTCCAAAACTTGACATTCACAGCAAGGGAATATTAATTTTAAAAAATCTCATATTACGAAAAGCTTTATTTTTATTATTGTTATGTTCATTATATTGCTTTAGTACTCCCAACTCCTGAAAGTGTAAAATTATAATAACAAATAAACCCCGCATCTTTCACATCAGGATAATGTCTCATTGGTTCTCAGAATTTTATTGTAAAGTGCAGTGACACTGTATTTTGTAGAGGAACACAGTAGCCAGTATGCACACAGTAATATATAAACAATGATAATTTGATTATTTATAAACGTACCCTGCCCTTG